GCTGAACAGGCCCAGCTCCCTCAGCCTCTCCTCACAGGGCAGATGTTCCAGGCCCCTGATCATCCTTGTGGCCCTGCGCTGGACTCTCTCCAGCAGCTCCACATCCCTCTTGTCCTGTGGAGCCCAGAACTGAACACAATACTGCAGATGTGGCCTCACTAGGGCTGAGCAGAGTGGCAGGAGAGAGGGCTGAGTAGAGGGGCATCTAAAGTCTCTCCTGTGGCATGTTGGACAAATACCACAATTTGTTGACTTTTTTTTTTTTTTTTTTTTTTTTTTTTTTTTTTTTTTGTAGAGAAACCTGTCTGACTAAATTGACTTAGGTCCTTCTTAAGTATTTGTAACAGATGCTGGAAACTTTAGAGAACCCCAAATTTCATTTGGTGTTTTGTCTGTGCACCCAGAAAGCTAAATGTGCAGAACAACGTGATGTTTATTTTTTGGAATATATCAACCAGGCAAGAAAAAAAAAAACAGTATTCTGATATAAGTGACTGGAGCATTTGCTTTATAGCACTAGGTGATAGCGAATATCACTTTGGTTATATTTTTATAAGAAAAATACCTTGCCTTGCAGAGACCAGTCAGGCGCACACACCCCTAACTCTCATTTCAAATTTATCACCATCTTACAGATGAATTTGCATGCAGGTGATGCAAATGATTTATGTCCTGAATACTTTGCTCTGTGTCTTGAGTAAATATGTTAAGCAGACACTCAGTCTGCAATCTCCAGAACAAAGTATGTCCTAGAGCCATTGCAAGATTTGCAGGTTAGATCTCACAATGAGCTGCACTGTTCCTAAGTTTCCCCTAATAAAAAGGTCGCCGTGTGGCAAAACTGGATTGTTATCAGCCTGCTAAAAACTGAAATCAAACTGAGTTTTCAGCTTTTAGTTTTGATATGCTTTAATTAAGCACATCTTTAGTTAAGATCTGGAGGTAAAAAAGTAATTGCAATTCCCACTGTGCTGTTGTGTCTACTGACATCTGCAAATGAATTTAAACAGGCTTTTACGGTGGCTTCTGGATTCCCAAACTCTTCTCTTTATTCTGAGTAAGAATTTTTCTAATTTTTGCAAACTCAGGGATGCAGAGGTGACTCTCATATTAAAATGCTAAAGCAAATTCAAGGTTCTGACTTCTGTGTTCTGTTAAAATTAGAATAAAAACAGTATTTATACACTGTAATAAGAGGAATCAGAATCTTAATTAGAATGTGAAAGAATGGGAAAACGTTAAATTTGATAAACTGCAGGCCAAATTTGAGGTGAGAGAGCTGGAACATCAGCCAAGTTTTCAAATACATCAATGTTTCTTTTCACTACTATATATCTATTTTATTAGCCATTGTAGCATTTGCTCAGTTTATTGTGTCTTTTCCCTCTTTTTGTTGGAATTTTCAGGGCAAACCTGATCTGAATACTGCGCTCCCTGTCAGGCAGACGGCCTCCATATTCAAACAGCCCGTCACGAAGATCACAAACCATCCCAGCAACAAGGTGAAGAGCGACCCGCAGAAAGCCGTGGATCAGCCCCGGCAGGTAACGCTTGCAGCCTCGCGGCTGCTTTTCTGGGGGCAAGAAACTTTCATTTTTGCTGTTCGGAGGGTCACACAGTAAAACAGTTTAGTATTGTAATATTAAATAAATGTTCCATGACAATTTGAAATGTCTGAGATTTCAGAAATGATGATTTAGAGTGTTCCCGGCTTTTAAAATCAAAAAGCATTTCCAGTGCTGCCTGGTTAGGTCACAACTTCAATGTAGCTAAAACTGCTTTTCCTTGGTACTGGAATCAAGTCTATCTGCAAATTTAAACAAAAATCATAACCGCTTTAGGGGCCATTTGCATTATAATTAGAATCGCTCTCAAATGCTCCAGTTGTTTAAGGGTTCTGTATTTCAAGAAATCCCTGTTCCAGTTCAGACTAGACTGTGGTGCTCCTGATGTACTGAGAGGCTGTGCCCCTGCACAGACCTTTTCTTACTCCATCCGTAAGAATCGGGTCAGAAATCCAATTTGAAATGTCATTATTAAGTATATATTTTTTTTCTTGATTGTACTCTGTGTTTGCGAACAACAGAATACAGCCAAATTAAAGGCAGTCTTCCAGCTTAATTTAATCTAGTGCAAGGATGCAAAAAGTGTGCCGAGGAACAAATGCAGCTTCAAGGTGCAGGCAGGGGTGAAACAAGGCGTTCAGAGCAGCCCTGAGCTATTTTGGGTCTAGTGGATTTGGGACACTCCATGCTGAGAGGAATGTGGTTTCCTGGAAAATCTCCTTGGTTCTCAGCCTTGTCATGCGCTTAATACTCACCTGTTGGGAAGCCATAGGCTAGAGGGTATCCCAGCCTGTTTCTTCTGGCTTTCACTGTCCTTATTCCCTTGTTAGGAGCAATCAGAAAAGTAATAGGGGTTGAGTTATGATCAGATTTTAGTGACAGTAAAGTCGCTTTGTCGCAGGAGAAAACTAACGCTTCAGTTCCTCGCTGAGGTCATTGCCATACATGCAGACTGCGAGTTGAACGTGCATCTGTTTGTGGTACCAGTCTTCCAACAAAAGAACAGGGTTCACTCGTCATTTTGAGCACAAACTGGAGAAAAATCTGCATTTCAAAAACAGAGGAGTAGGCGCAGCTGTTCTCATGAGAAACTACCACTTTGGAAAGAGTTTAGACACAGTTTTCGCGTTCTTTAACCTCAGTTCTGTGGCACATGTGAGACAGCAAAAGAGGAGCCGTAGTTTAAAAGAGCTGCCCCTTCCTATGTGCTCTATGAGATAGGAGGTTCCCTTACTCTTGTAGTTCAGAAAGAAGCAGTGAAAATACCAAGCTCTGGGGAAAAGGAGCATCTTTTTTTAGGCAGTAAATCAGGGCAGAGACGTGAGGTCGATCCTCTGTCAGCAGCGAGGATCTCTTCCTGTCTTTGGCCATGCCATTTGTGAATCAAATATCAAGTTGTCTGCCCCAGCATTCCTCCCCTTCTCCCCCCTGTCATTTTGATTTTTTTTTTTAATATAGTAGCAGGTGCTCTGTGTTCTTGCCAAATGCGTTTCTCCGTTTTTTTTGACCAATAAACGCTTTCTTTGACGTCAGCTCTTCTGGGAGAAGAAGCTAAGCGGCCTGAACGCTTTCGACATTGCAGAAGAGCTGGTGAAAACCATGGACCTTCCCAAAGGTTTGCAAGGTAACCGGAGTCCGCCCTAGCGCCGGGGGTGACATTTTCGTGCCAGGCTGCGGGTGCTGCGCAAGCTGCGTGTTGCCCTGCGCCGCGGGGACCGTCGCTGCGACGGGGGCAGCTGCCCCTCTGCCCGCAGCGCTCGCGTGCCCGTCGCCCGCAGCGGTGCTGAAGCACAGGCCAAGCAGCGCAGTTTCATTTTTATCTTCCATAAGTAGCTCAAACAGCTCCCTTTGGCACGCTGGGTTGCCTGCAACCCAACGAGGAGTAGGTCTAGGTTTAAACATCCCTTGAGACAGTCGTGCCAAAGCTGTTAGAAGGGTTAGGACTGAGCCTTGTGTTGTAGGAACTTCTGTTCTTGAGCTTGTGTAAACTTTGCTGTGTTTTCCCCCTCCGTCTAGGGGTTGGCCCTGGTTGCACGGATGAGACCCTCCTGTCTGCCATCGCCAGTGCTCTGCACACCAGCACCATGCCCATCACCGGGCAGCTCTCTGCCGCCGTGGAGAAGAATCCTGGAGTCTGGCTCAACACCTCCCAGCCGCTTTGCAAAGCATTTATGGTGACAGATGAAGATATTAGGTATTAAACTGATATGTTTCACGTCAAAACATGTCATCTTGTGTTGGAAAAAGTGTCTGGGTTTGAATAACCTTGGTCAAAGCACCCCTGAAAAAGGAGTGGGGAGGAACCCTGAGCAGTGCAGGTCCCTTTTCCCCCAGTGCGTCGGGGATTCCGGTTAGGAGCCCTGGAAGTGACCGCGGGTGTCGTTGCCTTGGGCAGGAAGCAGGAGGAGCTGGTGCAGCAGGTGCGCAAGAGGCTGGAGGAGGCCCTCATGGCTGACATGCTGGCCCACGTGGAGGAGATCGCCAGGGACGGGGAGGCCCCGTCCGAGAGGGAAGCAGCTGAGGAAGAAGGCGAAGAGGAGGAGGAGGAGGAGGAGCAGGACCATGACCAGGAGATGGAGAATGTATAGTCCAGGTAACGTCGCTTCCTTCCTCGTCTGTACCAAACAGTGCTTCACTGAAGGCAGAAATGTTTTCCTAGGGAATCTTAGCATATATTGGCAAAATTTTGTGCTCTAGCACACACTTTTAAGTAAAGTAACCATTTTATCGGCAAAAATTCTCAAACATGATGTTTGGCAGGTGTTTATTTTGTGAGGTGAGTATCCTGTGGTATTGTCGGTGAGTATTGTATCATATGGGCTAAATGCATAGCCCGAATGCATTTTTAAGTCCTTGGAATTGGATCTTTTATATATAAATATAATCTTATGGCGATTTGTTTTTCCAAACTTTCTTTTTTTACCTCCCATGATAACTAAGGCGATGCTGCGGGCGGACGGGAGAGGAGCTCCCCTCACTGTCTGACTTTTGCTTTATTACCAAACGTTTTCTTGCAGGCCGCGGTAGAGGGCACATTCGTAGAAGTTCAACATGGTATTTTTAGAAGGCACATTCGTAGGAATTCACAGCGATATTCTTAGAAGTTAGAAAGGGTAACCCGGTGTCAAAGAGGGAAGTTGCTGAAACAAATTTGTGCCGCGTGTAAATGGGTAAGATGAAAGTAACAGGAAAAGAAAAGCACCTTCTGTAATCTGGAAACAACCTTTTAAGCTCATTTAACAGTAGGGGGACAGCCAGAGCCTCAGTGCTTCGTTAGGCAGGATCCGATCGTGCCTGCCCGTGAGACATGAACGTGAGGGGCAGAAAAAGGCATCTTGGGATGACAGCAGAAGACAGCAAAGCTCCTTCGGAGGGAGGCAGCTCTGCGTCACTATCAGGTGGAATCAAGAGTGATTTATGCTCAGCAGTCCTTATAGCTGGAAGTTGGTCATAATTTTGATATTTGTTTGGCTTTTGGGAGGTACCCTGTTACAGCTGGGCTCTCTTCAAGCGCCTCTTTTACTGCCTGATTAACAGTGACTTTATTCTGGCACTGAATATCTTGCATTTCTTTGTGCTACAAAGGTCTGGCAACAGTAAAGATCCAGAATAAATTATCTGCTGGCAGTGGAAAAATAGGAGATAAAGAAATGGAAACGTTACGGCCCACGGCCGGCGATGATACCCGGTCCTGTAAGAGCTGCAGAGATCCGTCAGCACCCATTAACTCACCAGGTCTCTTCTGTTTTCCTTCTAGGGAGTTCCATCTAAGAATTCCCAGTACAAACCCTCTCAGCAGGGTCAGCACAACAATTTACAAAGCCAAGAGTGTCTGCGGAGAGAACCGCCCCGCCGACGCGCCTGTACTATGAGCATTTTCCACGTACGCTTCAGGAAAAGCCGAGGAGCTGACGGTTCATTCATTGCTGGGTGGTTTTGAAGATGGAACTTGACTAAACTCTACTCCCCCTCCTTTTTCTAAAGGGGTAGGGTCATAGGGAATACAAAAGTGGGAGGGATTTTAAAACAGTGGGAGGGAAAATACTAGGAACCAAATTTCCTATCTTTTTTTTGCTTGTTTTTTTTTTTTGTGGGTCAGTGATAGCTGATAAGTTTTTCAGGCTTTTCTATCAAAGTACTTTTAACAGTGACCCATAAAACCAGTTTTCTCTCCAACGCAAGTGAGAGAGACACGGTTTGGCTCCTTGGCTATCTGCTGTAGGCTGCCTGTTTGTACCAGACTGTAGGGAGGTCATTTTATGTTGTGGATTGTCATTCCATACGTCGATTCAGGTCGCTGAATTTCACTTTCCTCCCAAGACCACATTGGTCTTGACGTGTAGTCTCCGAGACGAACTGCCAGGGCCTCTCCCAGCGGGGCTCCGAGGGCCCCACGCGAGGGATCGCTCTCCCGTCAATGTGGTCCCGCTCCGGCGCCGGCTCCGGGGTGTCCGAGCGTAGCCTGAGCGTTGCGAAGGGAAACCTCCCCGCTCTGGGGTATGTCCTGCTTTGGCTTAAGCCTGGTCAGAAGGACTTTTCCGCTCAGAATGGAAGGATGACTCATTTCTGACCGACAACGAGGAAATTTTTCCTCCTTTCTCTTCTGGTGCCAAGAACCCTGACCTCTGTTTTTCTGTGCGGAGGGAAGGGAATCCATTCCACTAGGTGTGTCTGCACTTCTGCTCTCATGTGCAGCAATATTCTGACCTCTTTTAAAAACACGAACGGGAAAAGGTTGATTTTTCTATAATTGATATCTAAAAATGAATCTAAAGCTTTTTATTAAGTATTAAATCTTTCTTATTTGCATGTGCCGTGAAGTGACCAGCATTTTGTGTCCAAAAATGAAATGATGTGAAACCTGCCTTAATGTGTTTATAAGTATTTGGCTTCACCATGGGTACCTTGATTGACTCCTCAGTCTCTTCCAGTGCATCGGTGAGCATATTGGGGTAGTTTGTGGCTAAAACCCAGCTTTTTCTAGGAAGGATAGCGAGAGAAGAGGAAGATCAGAATTTATAGCTTGGGCAGTGCGTCGACTAGGTCGCAAAAATGATTTTAGTCTTAGGGTATCCATTGCATAATGTATGCATGGAAGTCTCAGTTGAGAGTACAGTATGAAGTGGTGGATGAAATATTGTGCCACTAACCAATTGTACAAGTTGTTGGTATCCCAAAACTTGGGGAAGAAAGTAGCTCCCAGAGCCTTTATCATGTAAGGATGATTAGCAGGAACAGCAAGGGGCCAGGGGAATTGCCTGGAAAGTAATAACCTTTGGGAATAGTTCAGCTTAGGGACCTGAAGAGGTTCCAGCTCCCCGAAAAACATCCCACGCCAAAGTGATTGATACGACGTTCACGTTTTTCTTGAAGATGTGAAAATGCAAAAACTCTTTGATATTGCTCATCTGGAGTACTGCAAGAACACTGAATTGTACTTGGCTGCTGCTCTACCAGGTATTTGCTTTGGGGAACCTGGCCTGGTCCAGCTGCCAGTGAAAATTACTTTCCTTTTTGAACAGTCTGTTACGGTTCTGATTCTGTAAATCTGTCCTCTTGTAATTCATTGTGTTGAATTAAATGTTTCTCACAAAGCAGCGTTTCCTGTGGTCTGCATCGGGCAAGGGCGAGCTGCTGACGAGCCCTGTGCATTACCCCAGCAGGTTGTACCCTGCATCCTTTCACCACAACATTCGGGTTCTGATTTCCTTTTTTGAAGATTTGTCAGTTATCTTGTGACGTCTCTATTTACTGTTACTTGAATCCGAGTTTATTTTAAGCATATGCAGCACAAGTATTTAGATGATTGAGAAGCTCATAGGATTTTGGTGCAGCAAAGATCAAGTTTAAGGTACTGCCAACTGCTCTGCCAGCTCTTTGACTTTCAGCACGTGTGCTGTTCCTGTCAGCTTTCTATTTTCCTTTGAAAAAAGGAAACTTTAAAAAGTTTAATAATATTTTCACTCACATGGGGGAGTTGACCCTTCAGAGTACCAAAAAGGGGCCCAAAATCCCTATCCCAAAGAAACTTAAATAACTTTTAACTGCCTATTAAGACAGGTAATTAAATAAAAGGTTCCTTTTTAAATTAGCCTGTTGTCTTTATCATGTTGTTGCAATAATAATCGGATTATTTGGTCTTATCGCAGCTTAGTGCCGTGGATGTGACTGATGGGCACACAGTGCTTGGGCATCACTGAATAAATCCCCAAGATGCAGGAGCAGTGGTTACTCGGGGTATGTTGCATTAATCATGATTAGTCATAGAATCATAGAATCACAGAATGCTGAAGGCTGGAAGGGACCTCTAGATGTCGTCCAGTCCAACCCCCTGCACACGCAGGGTCACCTAGAGCACGTGGCACAGGGCTGCGTCCAAGCGGGTTTGAAGATCTCCAGAGAAGGAGACTCCACAACCTCTCTGGGCAGCCTGTTCCAGTGCTCTGGCACCCTCACTGCCAAGAAATTTTTCCTTAAGTTCATGTGGAGCTTTTTGTGTTTCAGTTTGTGGCCATTACCTGTAGTTCTGTCAGCGGCCACCAGTGAAAAGAGGCCAGTCAAGGAAATACGAAGCACAAGGAGGTGGGAATTGAATGGAAGTGGGGGGGAAAACTCGGCGGTCTGTCCTTCACGAAGCAGCGGGCACGTGCAGGGGGATCTGAGGGTGCCGGAGCCCTGGCACAGGCTGCCCGGGGGCTGCGGAGGCTCCTTCTCTGGAGATCTCCAACCCGCCTGGATGCCACCCTGTCCCCGTGCTCCGGGTGTCCTTGCTGGAGCAGGGGTTGGCCTGGACGGTCCCTAGAGGTCCCTGCCAACCTCAACCGTTCTGGGATTCTGTGTGATTCTGTGCAAAGTGGCGAGGCACAGCCTGGTCCTGCCACTGCCCGTGCTGCGTGACGGCCCCGCGTGACCGTCTTCCACAAAAAATAATTGCACCAAAATAAGCTCTGTGGCAGCTCCCGTGTGGTTAAGGTTAATTCAGTTATTTTTTTTCTTCTGGTTTTGTGTTACCAGCATTATTCTTACAAAATTCCAACTGGCTAAAGTGTAGTCAGAAGTATGGACGCCGCAGACGGGTAGTGGCACGGGCTGGGTTTGGCTGCAGAGCTTTGTGGACGGGTCTGAAGAAGGTGCAGCTGGATTCGCACCTGAAACTCAACTTGCTGAACTGGCTGTTGAGCAAGAGAGAGGGAGGAGTCATCTTGCCTGCAAACGGAGCTTGTGAGAAAGGGAAAACGCTCGTGCACGATACGGTTGGGCTCCCAAATACAGTGTGGTACGTTCTACACATGGAGCCTTTTCTGCCACAACTTCGATTTTTATTTTATTTTTTCTGGTGATAAAAAGGGGAATAAACTACCAAGTTAAGTAGGAGCCTCTGATAAATGTGCGCTCTTCCTCTGCCTCCCCTATGGAAGGAGGCTAACTCGGAGTGAGCTTTCCAAACCACACACATCTCTTCTCATCAGTGAAATAGCTGTACTTGGGAACTAAAAGCATTTACTGGTACAAGGTGAACTGCCCCATGAACGAAAGCTTTTAGTCAGGGTTGGTTTATCAGCTGCCAGTTGAGGTAATTCTGGTTTTGTGCAAGTCTGAGGCTGTCCTGTTGCTCCTTCCTATAATCTAAGAAAATGCTGGATGGGAATGAAAGTGAAAATAAAAAATGACTTGTGTTTTGCAGCCGTCTCCTGGAGAGCTAAGCTGGTACCAGCCGACCGTAGCGGTTTGGTGAGGGATACAGGAGAGATGCATCAAATCCCCATTTCATTAAGAATGTCCGTGGTCAAACGCCAGCTCTGCAGCAGGTGGCAGAGGTCTGTGCGTGGGAGAACACTGTGGCAATTCCTGTGTTCCAGGTGGCTGCGGATGGCACTGGGGACGGTGCTTTCCCGGTTCGCAGGAAGCAGCCCCCAAACCACGGAGCTCTAATGAAGACAAGGCAGGTTTTTCAGGAGAAATATCCCCTCAGATGGAGCCATTTGCATGCGAAAGACCAAACTCCAAGAGTTCAGGTGCCTGTGGAAGCCTTTGGAAAGTACCAGGTATTCCATAGGGGATCAAATGCCTGTTCTTGGCCATTGTCACTTGGGGCAGACGTTTCTCGGCTGGAGGTTGAATCGCTTCCTTTACAGGCTGCTCCTTCATGACCATTTGCAGGGTGTGGATTGCCTTTTCCATTTAATGTCTGTATGTATTGGGGCAATGCTAACTGCTAGCAATATTTATTAATATCATATATCAATATATTCTTATAAAGGCTTAATGTTTCCTGTTTTTTTTTCACGTTGTACACAATCACAGATGGAAATATTTTGAAACTGTGCAGAGTTGCAATGGCTGAGCAATGAGTGGCCCCTTCAGAGGTGGTCTGTGCTAGCAAAGGGAGAAGCTATAGACACCTGGTCTTATTTGCAGGCATAAAATAACGCCCTTTGGATCAGTAGAATCTGAAGCAGGTGAGTAACCAAGTTATTACCCGTGTTTGTCATTTGAGTGCAGCTTTATGCCCTAGATTAGCCTATCAGTCACATTTTATTGGCATTTAGTGATCCGAAGGGCCGGGAAACTTGAAAGCTTGGTGTGCAATCTTTCCATTTCATGCTTTTATCTGTTATGCAGTTAATTTACAGGTTAGTGGCAGTTGGCTGCTGCACAACTTTTGGGAGGCGCTACCTGAGCACCAGATACTCCATTATCTGAATGCATCGGAAAGAAAAAACAGACTTTTACTAGTGGTTTTCCTCCTCGAGGACCTTTTTCATACTTTAGTGGGGAAATATGTTAGGAAAACTTTGTGGGTTATACTAAAAGTAACAGGAAAAAAAACTGCTTGGC